TAACCTGAAAAAAATTAAAAAATAATTAAACAATATAATATTAATGAAAATAATAAAAAAAAATAAAAAAAAGTATTTAAATTAATCAAAAATAAAATTGATTGATTATTTATTTCTTTTTTTACCATTTTTAAATTACAGATTATTGGCTGAAAATATCATTATTTTTTATATAATTGATTACAAATAATTTAGACTATTATCATAATATATATAATATGAAAAAATTTCTTTTTCTTGATATGTAATAAGGCTAGTTATTTTTATTAGCAAATTTTTTTATTTATTTTAAACTAATACAAAAGCAAAAAAAAATGATAAAATACTATAGCATTCTAAATCATCTAAAATGAAAAGAACAAAAATTACTATTATTTATTTTTAAGAAACGAACAAATCGATAAATTGTATTTTTTCATCATATTAAATTTTTTTTAAAAATGAATAAGTTTATTATATAAAATAAAAAATTATTTAGTTATTTACAGTAAATAAAAATATAAGAAAACATTATTTTGTATAAGATAGATAACCTTTAGATTATTTTAATACAAATACAATTTTACAAGTTAATTCTTCTTACTTCTAAATTTTTTTAGTAATTTTTTTAGAAATTTCATTGAAATACAAGTATATTTGTTGCAATATCTGATCATTTTGTTAATTTAGTTGGCTGAAACTTCATTTTTATTTCCTATTTTTCTAATATAAATCTTATTAGAAACTGTTGATTTTATAATTATTCAATGATATTTAGGTAATAATGATAATAATAAAGATGATGATATAGAAGACTAAAGCATTTCTTTTGTAATTTTAATTCAAAGTTTGATTGATATTAAGTACATAAAAAACTAAAGTTATGTAATTCCAAATAAAATTTTTCTTTAATTAATATTAAAGCACTTAAAACAAAAATTAAAGATCTTATTTTAACATCATTATTTGATTTTTTAAACAGTTTCATTTGGATGAAATATTATTTAAAATTTATTTGGCTTATCTTTAGTCATATAATCTGAAATAATACATTCAAATTATAAGAGTATTGAATCTAAAACTAAAACTGTTTTCATAATATTTATTTGATGAACAGATAAATCTTCTTAAGATCATAGTAGAGGTTAAAATTAACTGCATTTAAAAAATAACTTTATTAATTATTATTTAATTATAATTAACTAATAAAAATAATATTCAAAATAAATAGAATTACTTACATTAATTTGATTATCAGAAGATTCAATAGCAAATTTTAAGTTTACAAAAGATAAAACTTGTTTTTTCTTTAATCTTAGAACATAGCAAGATTTTCTTTATTAAGAGAGTAAAATATTATAATATTAAAGATTTGTGTAATATATGAATTTTCTTTAAGTCTTATATATTTAATAACCATTTCAATAAAAAATTCACCTGATGTTTTTTCTATTACTCAGAAATGTAAAGAATTGTTGAAAATTATGCAACACTTTAAAATTATTTTTAAAAAGATTTGTTATTTGTAAGAAAATATTATTTTGCAAGTAAAATAATTTTTATATTCAACTAAATTTCTAAATTTTTACTTATTTATAACAAAATTTATTTAATATATCAAATAAATTACAATTTATTTAATTGTTTATTTATAAGTTTATAATCACAATATAAATTTATAATTTTGACTATATATATAAAAAAAAAATCTAATTTCAGAAAAAAATACCTTTTGAAGTAAAATACATTAATATTATAATAAATTATTATTATTCAATTTGATTGGTTTTATTATAATTAAAAAAAAAATTATTTATACAGATAAATTAAAATTACTAATGATATTTCTGTGTATAATTTAAAAAAAAATACTATCTTCACTATCTATTTTAGCAAAATTAATTTTGTGATACTTAAGAATTCAGCTAATCAAAAAAGTAAGCCTTTCTTCTCTTTTAATCAAGTGAATTATCAAGTCAAACTTATTGTATGCTCTTCTTTATTTTTTTTAAAATATGATTTTGTTTTACTTTTGATGTTATTTTAGTTTTAGCTTTTGAAATTGTTTTCTTTAAAAATATAAACAATAGTAATTTTAAATATAAAAAAAAAAATAAAAAGAAAAAAAATCCAAAATCATGATAATCATCATAAAAAAAAAATTATTTTGGTTTTTTTAGATATATAAAATTAAAATTCTTAAAAAATAACTACTTTGTGATCATTATGTTACAGGAGAGTTCTTTTATGATTTTATTTTAATGATTTCAAAGAAGTTATAAGCTTATTGCAATTGTAGAAATATATGAATATGATATACTAGTATATATATATATGCATATGTAATAGTTATTTCACGGGAATCTATGGATAATAATGAATTTCACGGCACAGCTGTGAAAATCATGATATTCATGAAAATTCCCGTGAAATAACTGTTTTAAATCACGGTTCCGTCATATCATCATAAACATATAACACAACTAATTTTTTTTATCTATGAATAAACTTTTTGATCATCTTTTTTTAGCGCTATTCTTTCTTTTTTTTACAATTTTTTTACTACAATAAACTTTTCAATTATCCATCTTTTTTAGCATTATCCTTTTTTTTTACTTAACTTTCCCACTTCACCTTTTTAATTTTTATTTCCCTTCTCTTTTATTATACTATAGGTAAAAAAAAATAGAATTTATTCTGCAACAAATATGTTCCTTTCAAGTTTTTAAACAGCAGCTAGTTTAATTTCTAATGATCCTATTACCAATATTCAAGATATTGCTTAAGAAAAAGCTTCCTATTATCGTGAAAAAGCAAAAGTAAAAAATACTGAAAAATCTACTAAAAACTGGACTATAAAATTTAAAGAATTTCTTAACAATACAGGTTATTTTGTTCCTTTGACTGAACTTAATAACATATTGCAACTTCAAAAAATAATTGTAGAATTTATCTCTACAATGAAAAAAAAAGATGGCAATGAATATAAAGCAACATCAATGAAAACCAATAACTTAATACTTTAAATACATTGATTAATACTAGGAAATGAGAACTATTATAAGTCTGGAGCTTTTTTATATAATTTAATAATAATAAAGTTTTATACTAATAACAGAAATGGTAAAAGTATTGTGGTTCCTTCCTTTATTTGTTGTTTACACCAATCATACTGATCGACTCAAACAACAAGCGGACGGACATCCGGAAATTTTGAGTCAAATAGCATGGAATTATATAGTCCTTGGCTACGCTCTGAACAATTACAGATACCAAATTATCTTCTGAACAAAATAATCATTTATTCAAAATAATATCAATATTAATAAAGATTATTTAATGTCACAAACATCTCTTCAAGAAATTTCTTTAAATTCAAATCCTTTAGATGAATCACCTATATTTAATAATTGTACTTTTTCAAATGTTTCTTTTTATATCCAAAAATAGGTTATTAAAATTATTTTGTGTATACTATATTTTTAATAATTAAGTATAAAAATAATTTTAATATTATTTAATTAACTTTTATATGATTGGTCAATTATACCGTGAAAATATCAGTAAAAAAAGAAACCGTGGTATAAATATATATTATACAATGCAGATTAATTACTCGTATCACAAATTCCCTAATTCGAAGCATTTATTAATTAATCCATATTGATTTGTGTGACATACATCCTAATTAAGCGAAAAAGTTAGTAAATTTAGTAATTAACATCATTAAATTTACATAAGAATCACGTGAATGACATTTTTCAGCAACTCCATAAAAAAAATTTATCCCTGAAATTTTGGTTCAAATTATTGTTAAATTTTTATTAAGAATTTTTTAATATTATAATATTCTATTAAAAAAAATTCGTAAAATGTTAATTTCTTAATTTTTTGATGTAATATTATACAATTGCTTACATATATTAACGTTAATTATGTTAATTGCAAAATATACTTAAAAAATAAAGGCGCAGAAAATTTTCTTGCGCTTTAAATTAAATAAAATTTTATTATAGAAGCAAATTGCAAAAAAAAAATGTAATTGAACCTAAGCTTCTGCCTCATAATGCCCCCATAACACCGCTGAATATACTTTTTTTTTTTTGGAATTTCCTATTAATTTTATTTCTCCTCTCCTAAAAAAAAACCATTTTTTTTGAAAACATATGCTCTATTAAAATAATTAAATATTAATTAAAATGTTACATTCACTTTTCTTCTAATTCACATTATATGCAATCATATTGGTTTTACATATAAATCTATAAATAAAATAAAAAATTAATTTTCAATTGAAAAGAATGATTATTGAATGTTCAGGGCATTGTTCGCCTTCGTTTTATAGAGTAATTTCAAATAGCATTTTTTCTATTGGTTTAAAATTATTTTTAATACCTTTCGCCCATTTTAAATTTCTTATGTCTCGTTGGTCTATTTAATAAGAAAATTAAACATATTATTAATAAAAATACAATCCAATTAAATAATGATAGTTAGCTAATAAACTTTAAAATATTACCTTTAAGAATTTCAAGTATCTTTTCCGTTATATCAATAAGCTGATCATATATTCATTATCTTCAAGTAAATCATTACTATTAAAAGCTTCAGATACTCTAAGATTATATTATCTATTGGTATTGATAATTAAGAAAGGTATACTGATGATTGCGATAAATCAACACCTTCTTTTTCTTGTATAAGATGTTTACAAATAAGAAATCAGCTAATAAAAAAAGCTGGACACCCACAAATTCAATTATTGACATCAGTTAAATACATATTATTATTGAGTGTTCGTGTTGAAAGCTTCTTCCATTCTTTTTAAATGCTTTTCGCCAATCAGCATTTTCTCTTTTCATTACAAAAATTTGTTCAAACTTTCTTTGATTATGTGGAATTACTGTTTCATAATGATGAACAAAACTAAATCTAAACGCGAAAGAAAGAATTTGTATAATAATTTACATTATAGCACCATCCAATGTTACAAAAATTATAAACTTCACTTACTGCCATTGTCAAATAGAATTTAAAGAAAGGAATTGCCCATCAATTGGTGGAATAAGTGGATGTTGATGTAAATGTTTATTCATGAATTTCCATACTAATGGGGGCGTAATTCTTTTGGACAATAGATTATTTTTTCTTGGTTAAACTAGGTCGGAATGATCGATCAATAAACGAAAATAATTGATGTGCTGCATTACCATTGTAATTTATTTGTTGAGAAGTTTTGTTATTTGATAACCATGTTTCCACTTCTTTTTTTATGTGCCAAAGACACAACTGTGCCTTAATATCTTTCCAAATAAAACGCGCTGCTGAATTTGAGAAAAGCCTTTATCTGATATAAAAAACTCAGGTTCAAGTCCACACATTTTTAGTTGCAATAAGAAATCAATGATAATGCCAGTTCAAATGCCGTTTCCATAATTTCCATTAATTTCCATAAATAAATATGCTAACGGAACTCCAATCAGCTAGTACCGCATATAATTGAAATTTTAGGTTGTGTTGTTTGTGTTATCTAAATTTAAAGAAATGTACAATTTAAAATTTGTGGTTATAATAATTAAACAAATGCTTCATTACTATTTTTAAAATTTATGTGTAACTATTTTATTTTTTGAATAAAGCATTATTCTAAAAAATAATCACTTACATGTAGCATCAACCCCAATTTCACGTATTTTGAATTGAGAGTTTTGTAATACATCCCATAAACTCGTTAACCAACCAAGAACATTTGGACTATTTTTTTGAAATACAATGAGACATGAATTTTCCTTAAGCTATTTTTGTGGAGAAAGGATTTCTGTCTCGTTTGTATCTATTTTAGCCAATTTGCACACACCAAAAATAAATCTGTTTTTGACGAATATTAAGATCCAAACCACGCTCAACAACAAGTCGTTTGTAAATTTCGTGTGGAAGCAAATCAATATTTTCTGATATAAAAAGTTTGATTTCTGGTGAAATGGATACGTCTGCTCGTATAGGATGTAAAACATGCATTTCTATATCGGATAATGTAAGATTCTCATTAATAGTAATGTTAATGCAACCTTTATAAGAAAAACGATCCATTGATTGTCTATCACGATTCTTATTAATATCAGAATATTACTTTAGTTTTTTTCACCTAAACAATCCCTTTGAGAGCAATAATACCGATAAATTTTTCTTGTATTGATCGTGAAATCTTTAATAAAATAATACAATAATAAATAAATATACAATAAAAGTTTACAAATTTAATTTAATTAAAGAATCAACTTACACCATGTATAGTATATTCATCACATCTGATATTATTTTTATGATACAACCAGCTCGTTCTTTAAGATTACCTACTAAACTAGTAATTTTCACAGTACAAGAAAGTTTAAATCTTGATTTTCTTTGTTATCGTTTATATTTTCAAATAAACTAGCAATAAAGTCGTAAAAATCAGGAAAATCAACTAATATTTGATCAGCATCTGCATTATATTGAACGCGACATGTTATTGCAAATAAGAAAAAATTTTCCATTCATGGTAAATGAATTAAGGAGTAAATTTTTTTCGCATCCTTTGCAATAGTGTTGCTTATTATTAATTTTATTGTTTATTACAAGAGGTTCCGAAGACATTATAACTCCTATTGAGAAAAATTAAATAAAATTAAATATTAGAATAAACTTCTAGACAGATAAATAAAAACATGTAATAAAATAAATGCTTTAAGTAGTTTTTTAATAAATTAGATATTGTTCCCTAATTACTATACGAAGTGACCACAACGTACAAAGTCACAGTAATACTATTACACAAATCAATAAAATCAATTTTTCCCTATTTTTAAATTTACTTATAAAGTAGTTTTTTATTTAAAGAAACATACATATTATAAATTTATTTTCTTCTAAATAGTACAGTACTTACAATGTTTTCTTTCTTTCTCTAATAACCAAAGGAAAAGAAAGGAATAGAAAGAAATAGCAGTTTCAAACGCCAGAATGTGCTACCAATAAATGATATCATTTCATAATATCGCGTCGCGTGTGATTGTTTGGACCAGGCCAAAATCACAAAGTCACGTGGCTGGAAAATTTTGGGGCGAGAAGATTAAAAAAGCTCGGGTCATGTGATTATATGTGGCTAATTTTAAATTGATCACGCGTTTATGTATTTGTTTGCACCACCACACAATTTCCAAATTTATCACGCGTTTATTTTTAATAATTTCCCAAATGTTTTTTGTATTTGTTTACAACACACAATTTCCAAACATTTCACGCGTTTAAAAATACGTGTTTCATGAGTATAAAAATGCCGAGTTTTTTTGATCGGCACTTTCAAATCCTTTTATTTTTTCTCAAATAAAAATCATAAATCTAAATACCAAAAATTAAAAAGTAAAATAAAATATTCTTCTTCCTCGTCCTCTTTATTCACAATACCCTACCCTACCATAACCATTTTCCGCAAATCCTGTAAACGATCCCGCATCACTTCACTTTTTATAACCCAATACCTAAACATGGAAATAATTTAATTTTGAAAATGGTAAGCCGAAGCGATTTCCCTCGGTTACTGGATCTTTGGGATGAAAAAATATTTATGAGTGTCTATAGAACAAGTAGATGTGATGAAGGGAGTTCCGGCGACCTTTTGAACTGATGAGCTTCAAGATGTCTAGGAATACCTGGTCTTGGAGTATCGTCTTACGGCTATAGATATTAATAAGAACAAGTAGATGTTATGATGAAGGGAGTTACGGCGACTTTCTGAACTGAAGAGTCTTTAACAGGATATCTTCTTACGTCTTATTTAGCTCGTACCAGTTATGGGTTGTATTGTGGAGTGGATACATGGCGTAAGCTAATAACCATTTTATTTTTTTTTTAAAAAAACAAATACAAAAAACCTTTTGTTCAAACTCGATTCGGCGAAGAAGGAAAGAAATTATGGAACAGATGAAAATATCAACTAATTTTTCTATCTCCGGAATGAAATAATTTCAAATGAAAATAATAATAAACATTATATTTTATTTTTAGAAATAAAAACGTTTATAATAACTTGAAAAAATATTTTATTTTCTATTTCTAGTGTTGGTGGTATAAATGATGATGCATTGCATTTACAAATAATAAAAATCAAATAATCAAATAATATAACTTAAAAAAAAAATTTGTATTGATCTCATAAAATTTATTAATATATTTATAAAAATGTAATAAAAAATTCCGGAATCAAATTTAAATTCATTTAGTTTAGTTTTATATCTAATATTTTAAAGAACAAGCAACAGAAGAAAACTTATGAGATTTGTAAGATTTAAAATTGCTTTCAGAATTCATGCATCGTGTCAGCTCAATAATTGTCTTACCGTGAAATCGTGAAAATAAGTACCTCTTTTGCAGTTATGTAAGGGATGCAACATATAAAAAAATGATCGTGCCATCCTCTAGAAATTCATAACATAGATTATTATTATTGTTTCATTTTTAAAGGATCAACTAACCTAACGAAAGGATTTCATTATCCTATCGAAGGTGCTTATTTTCGATTTTTAGTTTTTACAAACATGATAGTGTTGCAATCAGTTCTTCAATGTTTATATTTATAAACGAATGTATAATATCGCAGAAGGATTTTAATTATGTAATAATTATGCAAAAATTATTTAATAAAAAATTAATAATCAGTACTGCCTCAAACGTCGGCGCTCTGTACTTTACGGAGTTAATTTTATTAAATGTTGATCCTACGAAACTACTATAATCATTAAAAAATATCAAAATAAGGGAATATCGGAGAAATTATATTTTATTGAAAATATCTCCAATCCAAACATCAATCCCACCATTTTTATACATTAATTTTGAAAGGACAACTCGCCCAGAGGACAAGTTGACTAGAGTAGAGATCATTTTGGCCAGAGGTCATTCGCCCACGTGGTCAAGTTTCAAGGTTTCTTTCTTTGCATTGCGTACCAATGTACGTTTGAAAAATTTACAATAGGTGGTATCAAAGTTTCTATTAAATATTATTCCTTTTTTTTGAAGAGCCGTATTTCATCTAACTAACATTTGGTTGTCGTACGGTAAATAAAGTCACTTGTTGTATATTTGTTGAATATATTTTTTCTAGGGTATCCACTCAGCCTAATCAAATTACTTCATTTATTACTTGGATGTTCAAGGTAGAACTCCCAAATCCATACTTCTTTAGCTTCTCTAAAGAATTATGATATGTCTCCAAGTTGATGTTAGTTCCCGATAAATTGATACATGAGATCTAAATATTACGGTAGCGAAATAATTGTGCTGCCGTAATGTCAAATTAAGTTATACCGCCATAATGCCGAATTTTCGAATTGTTGTATTTCCAAATCGGCAAATTGTCAAGTTTAAAATGAATAATATGTCGCAATGATAAATTGTGTTTAATTTTTTTTAAAAAAAATATTATAAAAAAATCAATAATTTCTTCTTCTCTCTCTGTAGATGTTTGAAGTCTCTCCGGAATCATGGATAGAATAAGGTGAATTTATCATTTCTTTTAAAAAAAAAAAAAAAAATACAAATAATTACTTACCACTTGTTGTAGATGCCAAAGCTTTTTCGAAATCCTGAAATCCTTGATCGTATAATATATCAAAGGTATGATTTTCGTTTTTTTCTATTCAAAACAAATTATTTTTTTGTAATTTCAATTGCATACAACAAAATTATTGATTTCGAATATAATTCATGATTTCTAGTACCAATTCCAACAGGTCGAGCAAAAGTATGATCCTGATCCTATGGGTTGGTTTAATTCGGATCTCTGGTTTTTTTAATTACGACCCCCGATCGATACTGATTGATAATATAAGTTCGACATTATGGCAGTTTGACATTACGAGGGTGCAATTAAACGGTGCAATTCATTTCGATATGAGCTGTTTAAATCGATGTTAGTTCATCATGATGCAAATTATTTAGTGTTTTTCAAAGAATTCATACGTCCTTTAAATACGGCATTTATTAAATTTCGAAATAAGCAATCTTTCTGTCATACTACTGCATTGTTTCGATTATTAAATAAAAAAAGGTTTCGTGCGATCATAATTTTTTTTCTGTAATTTTTTTTTTATTGTGTGCCTAAATGTTCTATAAAGAATGTACGTATGGTGTACTTACCAAAATAATATTTATCGAAATGCCTAACATTTACATTGGGTAATTGCAAATTTGCAAATTTGCATGAAAGAGAGTCTAGGAGCCTAATTTTAAATGTAATAACTTTATTGCATCATTATTAGACAAAAATTGATTGGCGCATTAAGTGAACGGCGTATCGTTCCGTTTCAATTCATTGGAATTTTGTCGTACAATTCCAATTTAATTTTTGTTTGATTGTTAATGTTTCAAATGTCGATAATTTGCAATTCAAAACAAAATACTGTGTACACATGATTTGTAATTTTCACGTATCTTTGGCATATCTTACAATACAGTATATATTCCTTCCGTCCATAAATGAAATTCTTGACCATCATCTGATAATAATAAAGTCAGTAATTTTTGCCATTCTGCCTCCTCTTTACACTGAAAATATATATTTTTGCACGATATAATCGTATGATGAGTTGTTATTACACAACAAAATCTTTGAAAAAATTTTCTACTCGAAAATTGTTTATAATTTTGGATCCACTCTCTCGTTTATGACACTACGATTCCGGTAGTAGCTTTAATAAAGTAATAAACAAAATTTCAATAGAATAGTTAGTACATTTCATCACCAAAATAAGAAAATCAGTCAACAGTACCATCATGTGATGGAAGCACATTAATTTTTATATTCGGAGCAAATAAAAAAATGCTTTTATTTTGAAATCTGATGCACGGATCGCAAGTGTACGTTGATAATAGATATGGAACAGTTGAGTGCTTTAGGCTACATTTACATTTAGTATTCAAGTAATGTTATTTGACAAAAATCTGTCCTTGGATCGGAATTCGTCGTCGGGCAACATTATTTCTTAAATAATCTAACTCTACCGTAGAATAAGCGAAAATTCTATACAGTTTATGGACTATATTGAACTGAGAGTTGAATCGTTAACATTCAGTCATGTGATGTGAATTCGATTTGATTATTTATTTAATTATTTCAATAAATTTGCTGGTCTCATTTAACCTCTGTGGACGTGCGCTTAAACAACTTATGAAAAGCCCTCCAATATATTTAACTTGGTAATTTCCATTCGTCTTGATTTGAAAGTTTGAATGACAGAAAATTAAAGATCGTCAATAATTATGTAATCAATAATGTAGTACGTCATGCATTAAAAATTAACGAAATTTTATTTCACAATTTCAGGGGGTACTCACTATTAAAAATAACTGTTTTATTATTTCATTCAGTTTGCTTCAACAACATACACATATATATTCACTAGTCATTAATTAATGCATAAGAATTATTTTATTAAAAATAATATTCAACTTTTAAGATAATCTTATCAAAAAGGTAATTGTTTTTCTTTATTAGTCTCGCATCACAGTGTGCATGCATATTTTGTCATCCTTGAACTCCATAAATGAATGTCATTGGCGTAAAAACTTTATTATTTTTTTTTTTTAGGCTACAACCAAATTTAACTCGGAACATGTGAAAAGATCCTTTAGTGTAACGATTATGTTTGGTCATTTCATTTTTAAATCACATCAAAGTGTGGGGCGGCAATCTTTGTCCGATTGTTCTATCATAAAATTAAAAAGGGGACTGGTAAAAATCATTTTTTAATATTTAAGGTCTGCTCATTAGTGCTGAATAGAAATTTAAAATAATATTATTATACCTCGCCGGAAAAAAAAAAAATGTCAAACCCATGGGATCTCATGTATGAAGACTTTGTTTGGATCTTTTCCCATCCATATGAAGTTTTAGTTGAATTCGGACTCCGCAATACTATACTTGCGATACGTTTAAAACATGTTAAAGATGATAAGGCACCAAAGAGCGAATTTAATCTTCTATATTGGAGTAACTGGCGTGGTATATTATCTCAGATAATGTGGTTTTTAGTCACGCTTCCGGTTTTTATTTTTTATCCACTTTTGGCGATGAAAGCATTAGAAAGACCGTATGTTCGCATGCCTGCACCACCAACCACAGATGAAGAAAGAAAGAAGGAAGAGAAAGAGAAATGGTTTTTCATCAATGGTGTGATGGTAAATAACGATTGGTTAGATGAAAACTGTAAATACCTGGAAGCACGTTTCGATAAAAAAGTTGTAGGAATTCTAAATGGTAGTTATGGATTGCTCTGGGACATTGTGGAATCCATCCTTCAGAGAAGTTTTGAAATCGATACCATGTCGGTACGACAGGCAACGAATTACATTCTCCCAATGCTCAGGGATAAAAAAACTGAAAATGTTCGTCTGATCGCTCATTCCCAAGGTTGTATCATAGCAAATTTGGTCGTCAAGAGAATATACACCGAGTTGAGTTATACAAAAGAACAAGGATATTTGAGTAAACTCAGCGTGCACACTTTTGCAAATATTTCTAGAGAATTTAGAAACCCCGATGGTCTAATCAATTGCATTGAACACTATGCAAACAGACGTGATCCTGTCGCGGTAAGAGGTGTTATCAATAACATTAATGACAAACGTACTATAGGAGAAATTTTTATCAACGATTTGAGGAACGGAGGTAAAGGTCACCTGTTCAATTCGTTCTATAGCCTTAATCTTGTAGACTACTGGTCTGCACGAGGTGGTGAATCTGTGTTGTTGAACCTTCCTGGAAAGGTGGATCAGCTGCCCATCAAGTTGTGATTTAGATCTTTTTTGAATTCATCATTATAGTTTTATTACATCATTTTATTTTATTATAGTTAGCGTTGCGTTTTAAATATTAATAAATTAGTTGTTTATTAATTAGGTTATTTTATATTTTTATTTTATACACATTTTCTTCACGGAAGTTTTTCGGTATAATAAAGAATTATTAATGAGTAATATTTAAAGTGTGTTAATTATTCGAGGCGCTGTGCTCGTCATTCTAATGATTCACAAGTGTTGTGTGTTTCTGGTACTCAAATCCGAAACTTTTCGCCCAGTGAATTTTCAATATTGCCCTATATGAGAATAGCGGTCATGCTTAATTTTATCACATTTTGCAGATCATTTTGCCGATCATTTGCCGATCATTTTTCATTTTATCA